GAATGATGTACCTGTGTCTGATATTGCTTCAGACATTCTCGTTTTCACCATTTTTCCTACTCCAATACCCCCAATCTGTAACCAACTCTGTTACTAATGCTCTGATATGTCAAGTTCCTTTTACCTTAAATTGGAAATATGAGGCAGATGACAATCTCTCATAAGCAATAATTGGTCCACAGTGCTCGGTATCCAATCCTCCATAAGTAAATTGACCTCCAAATACGCCGTCTTGTGGTCCGCGACGTGACAACCATACAGTGAATATGGGTTCTTCTAGCAGGCCTTCAAATAATTTAGTCATAGTGTGAGCTTGTAAAGGACAAAAGGGGTAAGAGCTGTCAGGCAAAAACATTCATGTTTTATGGTAACCCTCATGCTTCTTCGTTCTCTCCTCCCTACTTCAGCTTAGTGTGAGGAGTGAGACGATCGATGACTTTACTCTATGAAGCACGCTGCAAAATTGTGTAAGTAAAGTGTAATTGGATTCCACGAATTGTTAGGAGCTTGGTAATTGATTTGTAATGTCTTATTAAACTTGCATGAAAGAGGACATATTAATTTCCTACCATAATCTTCCTTAAAAATTGAATTGTACGCATGTACTTTTATCTGTGCCTCCATAATCTGAGAAAGCTTTTTGCGTTTCCAGGATTACTTCATTCTGATAAGCAAAGTCTATGAAGAGCTGGCTAGCTTTATGTGATTGCTCATGTGCATGTCAAATTCTACACTCAAAAAATGCTCGGTAGCAGCTAATACCCATCTGACCTATCATCGAACGTGTTAATCGGTAAGTTCCTCCTCAAACTAAAATTCTACTATTTGTGGGTTATATCATGGGTACTGCCTTATCTCAAAAAGCTGCCAAGCAAAGACATCCATTTATTCACCCTGAGCTTTTTTTTTATCACGAGTATTTACAAGAAAGAAGATAAATCACAATAGTGGAAAAATACTAACCTTGCCTTATAGCGTTGAGCAATGGAGGTTCGCGCTTAATTGAAGAAATACTTGAAAACGCAAGTCCGAGAACACCGTCCATTGGATCCTGCATTTGGACGGAGATGATACCAAGAAACTGTCAATTTAATTGGAAAGCACCGTTTTGAAATTCGGAGAAATATGGTTTGCAAGGCCGAATACGCTGTTGGGTATCACAAGCTGGTGTTCGTCCTCTCCTCCAAGCTAAAAGTTATTACACGAATGATGTGGTAGACACAGTCGGTCATAAATAAACGATTTTCACAGGGACGCAATGATTATAGAGTCATTACCCTGACTACATCTTTGCCCACAACACCTGCTGCATCTCCCAGACCATAATGGATGATCCATCTTGATTTGCTACCAACAAAGGTGCTGGAGTTCTTAGTTGAGAATCTGTGTTTGCCATCACACGAAGGACTGAAAACCACCAGCTATATGAGATAGCATTATAAAGTTTTTCTTAGGCAAGCTCATCGTGTATCACTGTAAGAAATCTTATAGGGTTTTCCTTCAAAATCTGATCAACTCACTCGCATTCGAGAGCAGGTACCCAAAGGTCTGCGGACCCAGTATCGGGAACTATGACAAATTGCTGTTGCGGTGTTCCAATAGTGATGTTTGAGACATATTCGCAGTCATGATAGTCTAACACCTAAAGAAATTCTACTCAAGGAAACATCTAACTCCTTGGCTCTAGACGCAAACCGCAAACAAATACCCTGTTTGGAAACCTTCCTAGAGGTAATGCTCGTAAAGTTCCCATCTGCCTTAGGTAGTCCTTGTAGACACCACGTTTTATCATATCAATCTAAATACGAATTAGATTAGCTTGATTAGTAGCAATGCTTCTAAAAGCTAACTCTTCTAGATTCCCTCCAGTTCAATGGCTGTTTGACCACGATAGCCGTAGCTACGGCTGTGAATAACCAGAGCATTCCCAGTTGCATTTTGACGAAAGTGCCTCACCTAAAGGTATAAATTTAATGAAAGAATGCTTTCCTTCCTTGCCAAAAATAGAGAAAACATCGAGCTGATCAGCATAGTTAGAAGAATCTATGGCTGAAGGATAACATAGCCCAACACTCATCGTAGCGCGTCCGACATCTTTGGCACCTTGGATAACATCAAGGGACATTTTATAGACGATGTCGTAAGACTTCAAGATAAATTCATCCAAACACTTCTTTTATCGCTGCTCTCTGGGATACACATGGGACGACGCCCATCTAAATGCGTCCTCTAGTGTATGTCAATAAAATTGCCTGATAAATCCAGCAAATCACCTTTATCGGTATGTCATCTATCTAATCTTCTTTTATTTTTGCTGTTATAGCAAAATGGCTCTCAATAGTACCTGTTGCCTTTGCAGACTACGTTTTGGAGAGATATTGTAGCACCTATTAATGTGAACAAAAATTTTAGAGATCCAAGAGGAGAGATACAAGCACAGTCGAGATGTAAAATGTGTATACGTTTACGTATACGCAGCTCATGACTTTCCTAAACTTTCCACTGAATTACATCGCGAGACCTATAAATGTGGATACTCCCCCAACATTGCAGATTTTAGAGGCCTTCTTGGGTATTTTTCCTGCATGAGATTAGCAATTAAGGACAACATTCTAGCATAACATAAGCACACACGGACAAAATTTAAACTGATTTATGCTTGTGGATTGACCAGAAGTTTGAACACAAACATTTTGACTATTTTCGGCAATATATACAAATAAGCAGAAGTCAGCATTAGTGTTCTAGTAAGGGTGTAACACACTATATCAGCAGATGTCAGCTTTCTGGAAAGAACTAATGTCATTTTGTTTTTGCCAAATAACATGCTTTGCACGAATAT